GTAGTTGTGGTTGGAGCACCTGTAGTTGTGGTTGGAGCTGCTGTGGATGTGGTTGGAGCTGCTGTGGTTGTGGTTGGAGCACCTGTAGTTGTGGTTGGAGCTGCTGTGGATGTGGTTGGAGCTGCTGTGGTTGTTGTTGGAGCTGCTGTAGTTGTGGTTGGAGCTGCTGTGGATGTGGTTGGAGCTGCTGTGGTTGTTGTTGGAGCCGCTGTGGTTGTTGTTGGAGCTGCTGTGGTTGGAGCTGCTGTGGATGTGGTTGGAGTAGCCGTGGTTGTTGTTGCAGCTGCTGTAGTTGTGGTTGGAGCTTCTGTGGTTGTGGTTGGAGCAGCAGTGGTTGTGGTTGGAGGTACTGTGGTGATAGTTTGATACGAGAATTATTAAACAGTATTATATCACTTAGTGATTCAAGAATGTTGGTACTGTACAGAATTTCAAATTTTTATGGATGTATTTTACGTTGCTTACCACATTCTCCAATGCAAACCGTTGACTCTTCCACTGAGAATTCATCTATGTTTGGTGCCTCATTGATTAAAACATTTTCGATATCTTGATCACTCGGAAGATTTGTTGCTTCAAATACGAGGTCCAGCGTGTTGATAACTGATCCCCTTCTGCAAATATAGAGAAACAAAAACTAATTTATAACAAAGTCTCATTTAGAATACATAAATGTGTTTTTTTTTTCAGTACCTGAATGAGACAATTGTCAAACTCAAGAATGATGGAAATGCTCCTTTGTAGAGGGCATAAAGCTGCAAAAGAAATTATGTGAAATTAATTATTTCCTTTCTGTTTTACAATGTTATATCTCAGAATTTGAAGTAGCAAAAACATGCTGTCATGTGATTTCAAAACAATGAGAAAGCATGTAATTAACACCATCAATTACATTATTTGAGTGGTAAAAGTTCATTGAATTTTCTTATTACAATATTTTGTTTTAGAAAAAAAACTAAGGTCCAAATGGCCATGTTCTTTAAAGAATGTTGTATTCATCTAACAATACTGTATACTTCCTTAGTCTTGATAAAATAGGGTTCCCTTGCCTATCTAGATTCGAAAGCAGGATCTTATTGCCAGAAGATGATAATACGCTGTTATACCAATGTTAGACAATATAATGTTATCTGAAATAAAAAAAAGTAGAAAAAATTAGGAGATTAAGAAAGTAAAACTTACACGACTCAACAAAAGTTGGGATCGTTGGTTGAAAGCAGTCGAAGAACTGATTTCAAGATCGCTGGTAAAGATATCCTTAGGAGACCTGAAGGTCATCCGGCGGACAACTGTCATTTTAGTTGTGCCAATGGTAGTTGTTGCTGTTGTAGAAACTGTGGTTGGAGCAGCTGTGGTTGTGGTTGGTGCAGCTGTGGTTGTGGTTGGTGCAGCTGTGGTTGTGGTTGGAAAATCTGTAG